ACACCCATAGGATGAAATTTTAGAAGGCAGCAATAACAAGTTATCATGAAGACAAAGATGAGAAGTGGTTTGTTGTCTGGTTAGCAATGATTCACATTATTGCAAACACGGGGAGAAAGAGACTTTCCTACTGAATTTTTAGGAATATATCTTAGTAATAGTGTTCTCAATGTATTGTGTTACAGTAATACAAAATTGCATAGATTTCATGATTTTCAAAAATATTTTCAATCCTTATCAAACTTGGGAAGACAGCCAATTGGAAGCAGCTGCAGTCAGCAGTTCACAAGGAGAGGGATGAAAGGAGCAAATGAATTCAACATATTCAACTGAGATATCTGAGTTCTTACATTGGGATTGATTAGCCAAACTGCTTAACCCATGGAGAGCGAAGAGAAGTAGAGTGATGCGACAGCCCACCTGGAAGCAGCATGGAACCCAGATACCCTCCACCCCTAGCCAAGGGAAGTAGTGAGTGAGTGTGTGACTTTCCCAGGGTAACCATGCTTCTCCCACAGATCTTTGCAACTGTGGATCAGGAGGTCCCCCTTGTGAGCCCATGCTACCAGGACCTTGGGTCCAATACACAGAGTCTCGGCAGAGCAGCCACTCAGGCACACGCAGAGGCCCAGGAGTTTTGCATACTTGGGCCTTGGGATCTGTGGCAAGATGGGAGAGGTGTCTGGGTATGTCCCTAGGAAGAGGGCCTAGTCCAGGGAGCAAGCAGCGTTGTTCTGCGGGCCCCACTTCCACAGTGCCTCATGGGTTGAGACCCACTGGCTTGGAATTCCAGCTGGCTGGTGGCATCAGGCTGGAGCTTGCCTGAGTTGGGACTGAGTTCCCCTGGGGGAGGGATGGCCGCCATCTCTGTGGTTCAGTAGACTCAGTCATTTCAGCCTGCAGCTTTGAAGAGTAAAGGCAGTCCAGATGAGGAGGGGTCCCCCACAGCATAGCACAGCTGCCTTGCTGGATTGTAGCCAGACTGCTTCTTTTAGTGAAACCCCATCCATTCTTCCTCACTGGGCAAGACCTCCCTGCAGGGGCTTCAGCCACTCCAGCAAGGTTCTACAGACAGAGCTCTGATCTCTCCCTGGGACTAAGCTCCCACAGGAAGGGGCAGCTGACAAAAACAAGCAATGGGAAAAAGATTCCCTATTTAATAAACGGCGCTGAAAGAACTGGCTGGCCATATGTAGAAGATAGAAACTGGACCATTTTCTTACTCTATATACAAAAATCAACTCACGATGGATTAAAGACTTAAATGTAAAATCCACATCTATAAAAACCCTAGAAGAAAATCTAGGCAATACCGTTTGGTACATAGGCACAGGCAAAAATTTCATGATGAAAATGCAAAAACCAATTGCAACAAAAGCAAAAATTGACAAATAGGATCTAATTAAGCTAAAAAACTTCTGTACAGCAAAAGAAATGATCATCAGAATGAAAGACAACCTATAAAATGGGAGAAAAATTGTGCAAACTATGCATCAAAGGTCTAACATCCATCACCTATAAGAAACTTAAATTTACAAGAGAAAACCAAATAACTCCATTAAAAATTCTATCAGACATACAAAGAGGAGCTGGTACCATTCCTTCTGAAACTATTCCAAACAATACAAAAAGAAGGAATCCTCCCCAACTCATTTTATGAGACCAGCAGGGGGTCGGGGGGGAGGATGAGCCCTAAGGTAGAGTACCCAGGTATTGGGAATAGCCTAACCATTACTCATCAACCCTCACAATGACTTACTGTGGCAGGGCCCCCTAACACAAGGCTCCACTCTGCCTCAAGACCTTTAGTTTAGCAGGGGCAAAACTGGCTGCTGTGAAGAGGGGAGAGAACAGCACTAACTGAATGTTGAGAAGGGAGAAGATGAGTAAGTGGCCTCAGATCAATAAGCAGAGAGGTGGGAGGCAGCAGGAATATAGACTGTAAGTGGGAAATGTATGTTCTCACTGCAGAAATAAGGAATGTTAGTGTCTCCCCACTTGCAAGATGTGATAGAACCTATGTACAGAATGATTTTAATTCTGTCAAAAACAACCGAGTAAGACAGAAAAAACAAACTCTGAGGCACCCACATGATGAAACACCAGGTGCTTAGGCAGTCCCCAGCAAGAAAAGGGCAGTGTAGGACAGGCAAGAGTTGTCTGAGAGAGGATCAGGTGCCACTGACAGATCTGAGCAGCTGTGTCCACAGTGTCCTGAAGTCTGAGAGGGAGTGGGAGGAGATCTGGGAAGCCTGTACAGGGGTTGGGTAATGAAGTGCGAACACTCTGCTGTCTGGAAGGGACCCCTCTAAAGTGCGGACACCTCAACCTACACTGAGGAGAGAAAAGTTAAATCAGTGAGATGTAGATTTAAGGTCAACAGCAAATTGAGCTGTTTTAATACACATGTGAATTTTCCAAACAGAATTGACATCATAGCATGTGAACTATTACAAGATATTTTTTACTTTTTGCAAAATATACTCATTTTTATTAAAGCAGAAAAAGCAAATGAGAGTTGGATGTCACCTGGTGGCCAGAGATAGGATGGAAGCTTTGAGAGTTTCAGAACAGTGGGCTCAGCAAGGGGGCGAAAGGAATGGAGCCTGGAGGTTAACTCCAAGGTATCAGACAAAGTTTTCTTCAATTATTCACCTGGTTATAGCAATCTCTCTGGATCCACTATTTTCCAGGATATCTAAAACTGAGATTAGAGTCCAGCCCACCTCTGAATTCAAGGTGAAACCGCACTTGTGAGTGTGTATTTGGAGTGATAGAACCAGAGGACGCACACACATACACACTCACCTAGTTATCTCAAAGTTTAATCAACTTTCTTTCGCCATAAAATTTAACACAGTGAATGCTTTTTCAAATTAGTGAATATATGTGCACATGACATTTGTCAATCTGTTCACAAGTAATTTTCTTAAATTTGAATATTTTTATAAGACAAAATTTCAAACAATATACAAAAGTATATTCCCAAATTTAAATTAATCTGCATCTTTCACTTGCCCTTCCCCTAACCCTTAACCCAAAAAGCTTTGCTGTCAACAAAATAAATCTTTCATCCCAGACATGTTTCACATCATGCCTCTGAGGAGACCCAAATTCTGTTCTCTAGGCTGGGAAGAATGCTATTGACCTCAGCTGGTGAGCTCAGTGATAGGTCACATGAAGGAAGCAAGGAGTGGTGTCTGCCTAATGGCTGCTCCTGGACTGCTCGGTATACTAATATATTTATAGAAGACCAGCAGTAACCAGTGCAGGGTCCTCAGATCATGCATTATTTAGCCACATCACACCAGGATTTAAGCCACCTGCTGCCTTCCCGGAGAGGCAAAGATTTAGCATTTATTTGACTCACAAGTGTCCATTGTCCATTCTCTCGCTAATAACTAAATACGTATTGAGCTCAAAACTCATACTAGTCGATTGGAGGCCTCTCATGAGCTCTAAAGTGAAAATACGAGAGTAAGACAGGAAATGTGCTGGTTTCAGTGACTCACACCTGTAATCCTACTTTGGGAGGTCGAGGTTGGAGGATGACTTGGGCCCAGGAGTCCAAGACCAGGCTGGACAACATAAAGAGACACCTGTCTTTACAAAAATAAACAAACAAAAAATTAATTGGATGTGTTGGTATGCACCTGCAGTCTCAGGTACTTGGGAAGCTGAGCTGGGAGGATCACAGGAGTCCCAGGATGTTGAAGCTGCAGTGAGCCATGATTGTGCCACTGTACTCCAGCCAAAGAGATGAGAGAGAGAGAGAGAGAGAGAGAGAGAGAGAGAGAGAGAGGAATACATGAGCAATAAATAGCTTCATCATATTAACTTTTTAAAATAACTTTTTGTCTATATTTAAGATATGCAACATGATGTTCTAAGATACAGACAAAAAGTAAAGTATTAGTTACTGTATAGTGAAGAAAATAAACATATTCATAATATCACAGTTACCCATTTTTTGTGCATGGCAAGAAAAGCTAAAATCTACTAATTTAGCAAAAATCCTAAGTATATTCATTTTAAAACTTTCTCAAATTTCAAGGAATTGAAGTTTATTTTTAAAAATTTCCCCATTCATCCAGAATCTCCATCTCTTTCCCTTCAAAGTTAAAGTACCAAAAAGAGTTTTCTACATTTTCTCTTAAAATTCTTCACTTCCCACTGCACTGTGGCTTCTGTCCCCAGGATTGCAATGAACATGATCTTACCAAGGTTGCAATCCACCTATTTGTCACTAGGTCCAGTTTTTCATGTAAATGTATTAACCTATGAAGTATTACTTTTAATGAGCTGCTAAAATATGCATGCTTGTGTAGTTGCTTCTTTCAGTTAACAACAGAGCCTCAACAGTTTTCCAGGCTCTGGAGCATGATGTACTGAACATAAATCCAAGCTGTCTCACTCCCTAACTATGCAGTCTCGGGTAAAGTTCTTATTCTATCTGCGTCTTAGTTTTTCATCTACAAAATGGAGATTAGCCACAGTTTCTACCTTGCAAGGTTGCTGTGAGGATTGAATGACTCAATACCTAAAAAGCACTTGGCATATAATATATCATAGCCATGTTTGTTTCTATTTCTCTATCCTTATTGGCCATTAGTATCTACTATCTCTGTGGTAAAGACTCATGTTTACTCAGAATCAAAGACGTTTGAGGTATGGTTTTAGTGAGACAAGCAGGTAATAAAACTAAATGTAGAATGAGATCTTGTATTTTATAGATAAGTATATAAATGTACTCATTTCTGCATAAGTTTACAAGTACCTGCATGAGAAAATTTGTGAAAGAATATTATACAGATATAAGCATTAGCAGTTATTTTCTTTGAAGTACTCTCAAGATATTTTGAGAGCAGGTATTCTCTTTTGTTTTAGAGTAATGCTGTTTATTTTTTCTTATATATTTATAACTGCAATAAATATAAAATGTTCCTTCAATTATACAAAAAAATTAAGTGTTAGGAACACGCAAGCAGCCTCTACCCCACCCACAGGAAAGACACACACATTTAAAATGGAGAATATCCCTGAAGTGTAAGAACAAAAGCTACTGAGGGAGCCACTTCCAAGTATACCAGGATACATTTCCCCCTAATTCCAAACCAAAGCAATAAGTATTAATATTTTATACACCATGACATTCTAGGATTTAAAACTTAGTAGTTTTACATGTTTGTAGTATTGTGCCCTTGTAGATACACATTCAACAACCCCTCCCACCTTGAAACACCCAATGGTGCAAATGAAATCCTGGTTCAGAGTCCTGTAGGTGGTAATGGGTCTGGTATGAGGGTCAAGGGCATGTGACTTCTCTCTCCTCTTCATCTGCATTCTGTCTTCATTTGAGACTCCATAGAAAACTGTTTTTCCAACATCACTATAGAAGCTCAAATAGGAGGGCAAAAAATGACAGAAAATTAAAGAAATGGTTGGATGATCTTTTCCCTCTTCTCGTATTCCTTGACAAAGCCATCCTGCATCACAGAAATAGCCCCAAAGCTGCATTTATAAACTAAATGTAAGTACATACTACTTCTTTCTGCTCCATGATCAGCTGGCCTCTGTGGCAGTTATGCTGTTTGGTTTAGATGACAGTCATCACTTCTCTGGGAAGGAGAAGAAAAATGGGCCAGGATGAACATTTGTTGAAGTCCTACTAGGTGCCATCTTCTCTATATAGGATTTCTCATTTGCCCCCAAAAAACAGCTCTGTAAGTAAGACATCATGAGCCCGCAGTGGTTCACTTTTCCAGATGACCATGGGCAGGCTGACAGAGGCTAAGAAAGTTTTCCAGTGTCACATATCAAGTAAAAGGCAGGAATGAGGTTCCATCTTTTGTCCTAATTAAAATGTTCCATGCATATTCAACAGAGGATATGTCACCCCCAATGGGCTGAAAATTGTTTTTTAAGGCTAGGGAGATAGTAGACATTAAAATGGTTTCTGTGGAGTCAATGAAGATCACTTCAGAGCTTTAAATAAATAAATAAATAAATAAAATGGTTTGTGGCACTACATAGGACCAAAATAAATAAACAGTTAACACTACATCTGTGGTATTAAAGTTTCATATTTCAGGCAAGAAGGGATTAATAAGGAGGAAAAACATGTTTAATAAGGCTCCTTTGGATAATGAAAGAAGGTTGGGAAACATTTAATGTGCCCATTGATCTCTTCTGTAGATAATGGGCAACCAAGGCTTAGGGACTGGACATTTCATACCACCCCATGGATGCCTACTCAATAACCCCTTTAGATGATGATGATGAAGATAATGATGAAAATGAAATTCACTCTCTTGGGCCAAGAGACTTTCATATAGGGATTATGTTAATTGGCTTTTAAGGTGGAAAACAGATGGGGCCAGTCAGAACAGGCATTTCTTCTGGAAAGGTATCATATTAATGTTTTTAAAACAAATGTAATCTAATGGTATTCTAAGTAGTATTTTCATTAATCTTAAACTTTACTCAAGTACCATAATTAAATGCCCATTTTATATCAGGTTATAGAAAGTTAGGAGAGGTTAAGTTAATCAGGAAAGCTTTGTTCTTAATGTCTGAAATTTCACTAAAGGTCTGCTGCAGATCTTCACAACCTTGTGCTCAGATCTCCCTGACTCCCTAAGGAGAGCTTTCAGACTGACATCATGAGCTACATGGGGTCTAGGCAGAGCCACTGCTCAGGCACACATGGAGTTCCAGGACCATTGGACTGCCGGGCACTCCAGCACCAGCAGCTGCAGCTCTGGCAACAAGAGAGGCCAGGCTACCTGGAATGCCCCCAGTACAGGGGCTAAATCCATGGTGCTGAGGAGCAGGTGGACTGCAGGCCTCACCTCCACTGCACCTTGCTGGATAATGCCCACTGGCCTGGGTCCCTAGCATTTGGCCACTCCAGCCCTGCTTGAGCTCTAGGGCCAATAGCAGCCCTGTACTTCCCTGGGATGGAGCTCTCAGTGGTAGTAGACGGGTCCACCAGTCTTGGCAGGGTGATTAAGGACTAATGCAGGCCCCCAGCACAGCACAGCACAGCACAGCACAGCTGTCTTACAGACAAGTGGCCAGACTTTTTTCCACATAGATCCCTGTCCCTACTACTTCTCACTGGGTAGGGCCTCCAGACTTGGGACTCCAGCCACCTCATCCGTGTCTGGGCTCTTGGGCAAACAGCAGCTCTGTACTTCCCTGAGACAGAGCTTTCAATAGTAGCAGGCAGGTCTGCCATTTTTATTGCTCTGTACCTTCTACCTCTGTTGCCCTCAGGCTCAGGAGGGAGCAAAAAGACTTAGGACTAATGCAGTCCTCCAGCACAGTGCAAATGCTTTTTGGAAAATAAGCCAGATCCTTTTCCACACGGGCCCTGGCCCTGTTACTCCTCAGTGGGCAGAGTCTCTCAACCTGGGCCTCCAGAGCAACCACCCTGTCCCCACACAAACATTTCAGTCACTGGCGGCTCTGTCATTCTCCAGGGAGGAAATCCCAGAGAAACCCACAGCCCCTCTCTCATTGCAGCTGCAGTAGTACTGCCCTTACTGCCTTTGGGCTGGGGAAGGAACAAAGGGCCAGGTCACATCGCTGGCACCTCCAGCACACCACAACCCCATATGGGGAGGAGCCTAGTCTATCTTCCCTGTGAGGCCTCACTCTCTTTAACAGACAAGGCCCCTGGCTTGGAACTAAAGGGCAGCTACCCCACTCCCAACTGAGCATTCCCACTGGTAGTGGCTCTGTGTTTTCCTGGGGTGGAGTTCCCAGTGGCAACAGACAGTCCCTCTACAACTGCCACTGCAGTAGTTTTGAACTTGTTGTCTTTGGACTGGGAAAAGAACAAAGAGCCAGAGGGCCTTACTCATGTCTCTAGCATGCCACAGTCACCATATGGAGAAGAACTTAGTCTCTCTTTCCTGTGAGTCCCTGACCCCTTTCTTTTTCTTTTTTTTTTTTTTTTTTTGAGACAGAGTTTCGCTCTTGTTGCCCAGACTGGAGTGCAATGGCACGATCTCGGCTCACCGCAACCTCCACCTCCTGGGTTCAAGCAATTCTCCTGCCTCAGCCTCCCTAGTAGCTGGGACTATAGGCACGCACCATCATGCCCAGCTAATTTTTGAATTTTTAGTAGAGACGAGGTTTCACCTTGTTGACCAGGATGGTCTCGATCTCTTGACCTCGTGATCCACCCGCCTCGGCCTCCCAAAGTGTTGGGATTACAGGCGTGAGCCACCGCTCCCGGCCGCTTTCTTTTCACTAAGAAGGGTCCCCAGCTCAGGCCCATAGTACAGCTACCCCACCCTCTGGCTGAACATTTGCATTAGCAGACGCTCTGCATTTCTCTGAGGTGGAGCTCCCAGAGACAACTGAAAGCCCCTCTGCCACTGCCACTGCAAAGGCACTGTCCTTGATGTCCTTGGACTGGGGAAGAAACAAAGACCCCTGAGTGCCTCACTCGCACCTCCAGCATGCTGCAGTCACTGTAAGAAGAGGCCAGTCTGTCTTTTCCATAGCTCCCCAGGATTGATTCCACAATGCAACCACCCCACACCAGGCCAATCACTCTGACTGAGAGTGGTTCTGCATGTCTCTGGGATAGAGCCCCAAGAGACAAGTTAAAGGTCTTCTGTCATTGCCACTGTCAAGGTCCCTGCTTGCCCCCATGCTGTGGAGGGAACATAAAGGCTGAGCTTACCCCGGGACTGCAGTATGAAGTCCAGGAGTGCCAAACCCAGTTCTGCAGCCAGCACTTGAGTCGGAAAGGAGCCCACACTCTCAGAGCACTGAGAGAGAGAGAGAGAGCACAGCTGCAAATGTGGGCAAATACAGAGTAGTCATGTGACTGAACAAGAGGTTACCTACCAGCCAGCACACTTAAGCACTATCTACTGGATCACAGCCCAAACATCAACACAATAAATTCTTTGTTAATATATCCCCTGTGAAACAAGGACAATAATTCAGCTACAAATAAAGACCCTGCATAAAGCTTTGGCCCTCTGAAAACATTGAGAAATGAAGCTGACTACACTCAAAGTACACCACAGTTAAGGGAACACAAGCCCGCACACATGAGAAAGAATCAGTGCAAGAACTCTGGCAACTCAAAAGCCAGAGGGTCTACTTACCTCCAAATCACTGCACTAGTTCCCCAGCAATGTTTCCTAACCAGGCTGAAAAGGCTGAAATGACAAAAATGAAATTCAGAATATGGATAGGAATGAACATCAGCATTCAGGAGAAAGTCAAAACCCAATCCAAGGAATAAAAGGAATACAATAAAACTATACAGGAGATAAAAAGTGAAGCGCTGTTGTAAGAAAGAACCAGGCTGGGCATAGTGTCTCATACCTGTAATCTCACCACTTTGGGAGGCCAAGGTGGGCAGATCACTTGAGGTCAGGAGTTCGAGATCAGCCTGGCCAACACGGTGAAACCCTGTCTCTACTAAAAATACAAAAATTAGCCAGGAGTGGTGGTGTGTGCCTGTAATCCCAGCTACTCAGGAGGCTGAGGCAGGAGAATCGCTTGAATCTGGGAGGCGAAGCTTCCTGTAAGCTGAGATTTCATCGCTGCACTCCAGCCAAGATTCCGTCTAAAAACAAACAAACAAACAAACAAAAAACCCCCAAAAAAACTGAACTGATAGAGCTGAAAAACTCACTTCAAGAATTTCATAATAAAATCACAAGTATTAAAAGCAGAACCTACCAAGCTGAGGGAAGAATCTCAGAGCTCAGACAAAATAACTCAGACAAAAACAAAAGACAAAAAAGAAGAATGAATAAAACCTCTGAGAAATATAAGATTATATAAATAGACACAACTCATAACTCATTGGCATCCCTGAAAGAGCGGGAGAGAAGGAAAGCAACTTGGAAAACATATTTGAGAATATCAGCCACAAAAATTTCCCCAAGCTCACTAGAGAGGCCAACATTCAAATTCAGGAAATGGAAAGAACCCTGCAACATACTATACAAGACAATTATCCCCAAGGCACATAGTCAGATTCTTCAAGGTCAAAATGAAAGAAAAAATATTAAAGGCAGCTATAGAAAAGGGACAGGTCACCTACAAAGGGGAACCCATCAGGCTAACAGTGAACTTTCAGCAGAAACTATATAAACCAGAAGAGATTAGGGGCCTATACACAACATTCTTAAGAAATTCCAACCAATAATTTCATATTCCATTAAACTAAGCTTCATAAGCAGAGAAATAAATCCTTTTCAGATAAGCAAATGCTAAAGGAATTCATTACCACCAGACCTGCCTTACAAAACGTCCTTAAAGAAATGCTAAATACGGAAAGGAAAGATCGTTACCAGCCACCACAAAAACAGATTTAACTACATAGAGCATTGACACTATAAAGCTATCACAAAATCAAGTCTGCAGTAATAACCAGCTAACAACACAATGACAGGATCAAACTTGCACATATTAATATTACACTTAAATGTAACCATGCTAAATACCCCAATCAAAAGGCACAGAATCCCAAATTGGATAAAGAAGCTAGACCCAACTGTAGGCTGTCTTCAAGAACCCCATTTCACATGCAATGACAACTTAAGGCTCAAAATAAAGAGATGGAGGAAAATCTTCCAAGCAAATGGAAAACAGAAAAAAGCAGGGGTTCTTATTCTAATTTCAGACAAAACAACTTTAAAGCAACAATGATCAAAAAAGACAAAGAAGGGCATTACACAATAGTAAAGTGTTCAATTCAGCAAGAAGACCTAACTAGCCTAAATATATATGCACCAACAGAGGAGTACCCAGATTAATAAAGCAAGTTCTTAGAGACCTATGAAGAGATATAGATAACCACACAATAAAAGTGGGAGACTTCAAGGTCTCATTGATAGTATTAGACAGATCATCGAGGCAGAAAACTAACGAAGATGTTCAGCACCTGAACTCAACAGCTGGCCAGATGGACCTAACAGACATCTACAGAACTCTCCACCCAAAAACAATAATATACATTCTTCTCATATGCACGTGTCACATACTCCAAAATCAACAACATTAATTGGCCATAAAAGTATAAAAGTTTCCTTATTGGCCGGTCGTGGTGGCTCATGACTGTAATCCCAGCACTTCAGGAGGCCAAGGCGAGTGGATCAACTGAGATAAGGAGTTCAAGACCAGCCTGGCCAACATGGTGAAATGCTGTCTCTACTTAAAATACAAAAATTAACTGGGAGTGATGGTGGACACCTGTAATCCCAACTACTCAGCACGCTGAGGCAGGAGAATCACTTGAGCCTGGGAGGCGGAGGTTGCAGTGAGCCAAGATCGTGCCATTACACTCCAGCCTGGGTGACAGAGTGAGACTCTGTCTCAAAAAAAAAAAAAAAAAAAAAAATCCTTATCAAATTAAAAAAAATCATACCAAGCACACTCTCAGACCACATTATAGTAGGACAAAAATAGAAATCAATATTCAGAAAATTGCTCAAAATTGTAAAATTACATGGAAATTAGGTGTTCTTTAATAACTCTTGGGTAAACAATGAAATTAAGGCAGAAATCAAGAAATCATTTGAAACTAATGAGAACAAAGATACAACATATCAGAATCTTTGGGACAAAGCTAAACCAGTGTTAAGGGGGGAAGTGCTAAATGTCCACATCAAAAAGTTAGAATGACCTCAAATTAACAACGAAACATTACACCTAGAGTAACTAGAGAAACAAAAGCAAACCAACTCCAGAGCTAGCAGAAGACATAAAATAACCAAATCAGAGCTGAATTGAATAAAGTTGATTTGCACAAAAACATATAAAAGGTCAATTACTCCAAGGTGGTTCTTCGAAACAATAAATAAAATGGATAGACTGCTATGTACCTTAATAAAGAAGAGATAAGATCAAAATAAACACAACCAGAAATGACAAAAGGGACATTACTGCTGATTCCACAGAAATACAAGAAAAAAAAACCAACAACCCCTCACAGACTACTTTGGACAGCTGTATGCATACAAACTAGAAAACCTAGAAGAAATGAATAAATTACTAGAGACATACAACCTCTCAAGATTGAAACAGGAAGAAATTGGGTCCCTGAACAGACAAATAATGAGCTCCGAAATTGAATGAGCAATAAAAAGCCTACAAACAAGAAGAAGCCCAAGACTGGATTGATGCACTGTTGAATTTTACCAGATGTATAAAGAAAAACTGAGACAATTCCTATAGAAACGATTCCCAAATATAGAGGAGGGGATACTTCTCCCAACTCGTTCTATGAGTCCAGCGTCATCCTGATCTAAAACCTAGCAGAGACCACAACAAAAACCTAAGGTCAATTTCTTTGATGAACGTAGATGCAAAAATCCTCAACAAAATACTAGCAAACTGAATCCAGCAGAACATCAAAAAGCTAATCCATCATGATCAAGTAGGCTTTACCTCTAGGATGCAAGGTTGGTCTAACATATATAAATAAATAAATGTGATCCATCACATAAACAGAGCTAAAAACAAGACATAATCATATTGATGGATGCAGAAAGGCTTTCAATAAAATTCAACATCCCTTCATGATAAAACCCTCAATGAACTAGTTGTTGAAGGAACATACCACAAAATAAGAGCCATATAAGACAGCCTCACAGTGAATAGCATATTGAACAGCCAAAAGCTGGAAGCATTCCCCTTGAGGACTGGATGCCCGCTTGTGCCACTCCTATTCAACATAATTCTGAAAGTCCTAGCGAGAGCAATCAGGCAGGAGAAATAAATAAAAGGTATCTTAACAGGAAGAGTGGAAGTCAAATTATCTCTGTTTGCAGATGATGCTATTCTATACCTAGAAAACCCCACAGTCTCTGCCCCAAAGCTCCCCGAACTTCAACTTAAACAAAGTTTCAGGATACAAAATCAATGTACAAAATCAGTAGCATTTCTATACACCAACAATGTCCAAGCTGAGAGCAAAGTCAAGTATGCAATCCCACTTACAATTACCACACACACAAAAGTACCTAGGAATAAAGTTAACCAGGGAGGTGAAAGATTTTTACTAAGAGAGTAACAAAGCACTGCTCAAAGAAATCAGAGATGACCCAAACAAATGGAAAAACCATGCTCATAGATAGGAAGAATCGCCATTGTTAAAATGGCCATGCTACCCAAAGCAATTTACAGATTCAATGCTATTTCAATCAAATTACCAATGACATTCTTCACAGTATTAGAAAAAAACTATTTTAAAATTCATATGGAACCAAAATAGAGTCCAAATAGCCAAGGCAATCCTGAGGAAAAGTAACAAAGCCAGAGGCATCATGTTACCTGACTTCAAACTATGGTACATAGTATACCTGACTCCTGACTTCGAGTGGCTACAATAACCAAAATAGCATTGTACTGGTCCAAAATAAGACACAGAGACCAATATGACAGAATAAAGAGCCCAGAAATAAAACCACACATCTATCACCATCTGGTCTTTAACAAAGTTATCAGAAACAAGCAATGGGGGAAATAACCCCCTATTCAATAAATGGTGCTGATATAACTGACTAGCCATATGCAGAAAATTGAAACTGGACCCCTTCCTTACACCACAAACTAAACTCAAGATGGATTAAAGACTTAAATGTAAAACCTAAAACTATAAAAAGTCTTGAAAAAAGCCTGGGAAATAGTATTCTAGACATTGGCCCTGGCAAATATTTTATGATGAAGAAACCAAAAGCAGTTGCAACAAAACAAAAAATTAACTTATGGAACCTAACTAAATTAAGAGCTTCTGCACAGCAAAATAAACTATCAACAGAGTAAACATACAACCTACAGAATGGGAGAAAACATTTGCAAATTATTTATCCAACAAAGATCTAATATCCGGAATCTATAAGGAACTTCAACAAATGTACAACCAAAAAACAACCCTATTAACAAGTGGGCAAAGAACATGAACAGACACTTTTCAAAAGAAAACATACATGTGACCAACAAGCGTATGAAAAAATACTCAACATCACTAATCATTAGAGAAATGCAAATCAAAACTACAATGATATACCATCTCACACCAGTCAGCAGGGTTAATATTAAAATGTCAAAATTTACAGATGCTAGCAAGGTTGTGGAGGAAAGGAAATACACACTTCTGGTGGGAATATAAATTAGTTCAGTCATCAATGGAAAGCTGTGTGATTTCTCAAAGAACTTAAAAGGGAATTTCCATTCAACCCAGCCATTCCGTCATTGGGTGTATACTCAAAGGAATAGAAACTTTTCTACTATGAAGTGACATGCACACATTTCACAGCACTATTCACAATATCTAAGACATGGAATCATCCTAAATGCTCATCAATGGTAGACTGGATAAAGAAAACGTAGTACATACACACCACGGAATAAACCATAAAAAGAATGAGAGCATGTTCTTTGCAGCAATATAGATGGAGCTGGAGGCCATTATCCTAAGTGAACTAATATAGGAACAGAAAACCAAATACCACACGTTCTCACTTATAGGGGGGAGCTAAACTTTGAGCACACAGGGACACGTGTACTTGAGAGTAGAGGGTGGGAGGAGGGAGAAGAATGAAAAACTACATATCATGTACTATGCTTATTACCTGGATGATGAAATAATCTATACACCCAACCCTTGTGACATGCAATTTACCTGTATAACAAACCAGCAAACGTACCCCTGAACCCAAAGTAAAAGTTAAAAAAATATTAAGTGAATAAAGTACTGAATTATAATTGAATATAAAAATAAATAGGAACTTACATACTGGGGTATTAGTGTATCTGAGAAGTATTATTCTGATTTCATTATGTTAATATAACATTTTAGAGTATCTGAGGTTTTAAAAGGATGCTTTCAAAAACTTAGTAAGAAATTCTTGCCAAGGCATTTGTGTATATGAGCAAGTGTTACACATACCATCATCTATTATAGAAACTATGGTAAGGGAGCTTAATTTTACCACTAGGGAACTGCGGAAATAAAGTACCCTATTGATGATACTGGGCAAACGAAGTACCGTAATGATGGTCTTGAGCCCATCAATATCCCTGGGAATACTTGGAATGCCCACTTTTCCACGCAGAGTTCCAGAAAGCTCTATAAGGTGGGCTTGGGCCACAGCCTCTCCCTCCCACCTTTCTGCCGGCAATGTTGTAGCTGTAGTTCAGGCTTCTGTCACCAGAGGGCGCCATGGTACAACTGTTATCGAACTCCTCTATCAAGAAGCGTCTGCAAGGAACACGTTGTCTCTCTTCTTTGCATAAACTTTCCCAAAGGCAGCACCCTGATATGAATAATGGTCATAGTGATGGGTACCTGGGATGGCAGTTAAAATTAAAGGAGATGAGATGTTGTAGGGAACCAGCTACCACACCTCACCCGTGGGTGACCCGAATTCGGTGGCGACAAAGGAATGAGAAAAAGACAGATTAAGAATGAAAGTGGGAGGCCAGGCGCGGTGGCTCACGCCTGTAATCCCAGCACTCTGGGAGGCCGAGGCGGGTGGATCATGAGGTCAAGAGATCAAGACCATCCTGGTCAACATGGTGAAACCCCGTCTCTACTAAAAATACAAAAAATTAGCTGGGCATGGTGGTGCGTGCCTGTAATCCCAGCTACTCAGGAGGCTGAGGCAGGAGAATTGCCTGGACCCAGGAGGCAGAGGTTGCGGTGAGCCGAGATCGCGCCATTGCACTCCAGCCTGCGGAACAAGAGAGAAACTCCGTCTCAAAAAAAAAAAAAAAAAAAAGAATGAAAGTGGGACCAGGGGACCATCACTTGTACTGGAGGCAAGGAAGGCCCCGGGCTTAGGTTTTCCACAACATTTATTGAACACGATCACTTTTATCTATAGTGCAGGTGGTAGGGTGAATCCTTGAAGGGAGGCTGTGCATCAAACATAAAATTGATAGCCGTGGCAGTGGCGGTTTGTGTGAGTTTCTCAAGAACTAAAAGCATATGCTTATCAATATACAATGCAGCTGGTGGGAGCTGGCTTAGCAAGGAGCTACATGCCTGGTTACATTGGTTACATTCCAGTGCTTCAAGGGAGTGTTATGTCCTTGGACACTATGTTTAGAATATCAGAGTTTAGGACACTCTGTTCCTGGGAACATGCTGGCAATAGAGAGGCCTTCCTCCCCAGAGGCCTCCCCGGCCTTCTGCAGTTTATTGTTCCTGATTTCTTTTACACATTACTTATAACCAGTTTATGTAGGCATCCTGTAAACCCTTCCTCCATTGCTGCTTCCCCCAACAAGATATAAAGTGCATTTGCTTACACTTAGTAAGCATTCAGCTCAGTGCATGTTACAGTGGTGTTTCACAAAATGAAACACCAGTTTATATAAAAATATTGAATGTATATTGTAACATAATTTCTAATGTTATTATAGAAATTTATTTCCATGAAAATATGGTAATAAAGATGTAAAGAGGGCTACAAAGACTTGAACAAGTAGTCTGGATCTATTTTTCTTTCATACAGGCCTCTGATTTTTCAGGGGTCAAAAAATAAAAATTAAAATGACTTTTTTCTTCTGATATAGAGCTCTCTTTTCAGCTAAGAGAAGACGATTTCTGTCTTGAGCCCATCAATATCCTTAAGAATACTGGGAATGCCTGCTTTTCCACCCAGAGTTCCGAAAGTTCTGTAAGGTGGGCTTGGGCCTCTCAGCCTCTCCCTCCCACCTTCCTGCTCGCGATGTTCTAGCTGTAGTTCAGGCTTCTGTCATGAGAGGGCGCAACGGTACCACCATTCTCGAACTTCTCTGTCAAGAAGGGTCTGCAAGGAGCAAAAAATAACAGTACCTCCCTTAAAACGCAGCTTATGAATCTGATTACAGAATAATTCTAATTCGTTCAGAAAAAACGTGATGATACGTGTAAAATAAGTCTGTATCTATGTATGGCATCAACAATTAAACACCAGACAGCTCTAGCGCATGTTGGCAATCATTAGCATTAATAGATCAGTGCAAGGCAGGCAGAAGATGACTGACAGAGAATGGGGTGCCTAAGTGGGTATTGGGTAGCTGCCTCCATAGTGTCCTGGAGAGGGAATGAGTGAGAGGGAGTGAGAGGTCTGAGAAACCTGTACAAGGGTAGGGTAACTGAGGGTGAACACCCAGGTCTCTGGAAGGGACCCCTCTACAGTGTGGACACCTCAATGTACACTGAAGAGGGAAGAGATAAATTAATGAATTCGATGTAGATTTGGGGTGAACACTAAATAGGACTGTTTTTAATATACATGTAAATTTTCCAAACAATTGTTATTATAATAAATATTTTCATAACATTTATTACTCTGCAAAATATAGTACTGTTAATTACAAAAGAACGACAAAGGTGAAGATAGCTGTGATGCCTCCTGGTGGCCAGATAAATTATTGCACCTCTGGGAGTAGAGTCGGGGCAGCAGAGGGGAGGGAGGAATGGAGGGTGGGATCTAATTAATGGGATCAGACACAGTATTCTGAAATTTTTCACATACCTGTCACAATTTGTGTGTATCCATCATTTATCTGGGTTTTTTTAAAGTATGTTTTCTGGTATATATAAACCTTTTTCTTTCATTTAGAATTTTTCAACATCAATAATACTGTTACTTAAAAACTATATGGGTTATAATTAAAAAAAAAATGTTTAACACTCTGGGATCATGTAATGGCAGACCCCAAGGAGATGAGATCATTCACAGCCCCAAAAGCATGAAGACAAGATGTGAAGAACTTTAAAATAATTTAAAATTAACTGTTGATAGGGAGATAACAAGAGTATTTTTCCAGTTTACTTAGTCAACCCTAAAGTAAGTAACCTTATATGAATAATGGTGATAATACTGGGTAATTTAAATGATACTTAGGATTATAGAAGATTAAATACATTTGAAAACATCTTGAGGAGTGCGTACTATCCCTTGAGGAAGATTAGAGCATTCAGAGGCCTGGAGGCATCAACTCAAAATAGAAAAATACCTTAAGTATTCCAAAGTTAGCTGCTGATATGGAGAGAACAAGTTGTCTCTCTTGTTTGCATAAACTTTCCTAAAGGCAGCAAACTGATGTGAATAATGGCCATAGTGATGGGTACCTTGGATGGCAGTTAAGATTAAAGAGGATGAAATTGAAAGTGCGTTGGCTTACAGTAGTTCAGTGCATGTTACTTTCCTTCTCTCCAGCTCATCTGTCTCAAGACCAACACCTGAGCTTCTGCCTGATCCCATTCCTTACCACTTCAAGGATCAGCCAACCCGTGTGGCTCTACACCCAGGTCTCTTGGTACAAAGCAGAAGATTTCACCTCCTCTGTCTTTCTCATCACTCAGAGGGGTTGTGGAATGGGGACCTGTAGGGCACAATAGCAGGGAGTGGAATCTGATCATTTCTCAAGGTCTGGACTCCCATCTTCTAAAAGGGAGGTTGCTCAGAGCCATCTAGGGAGGGTGAGGGATGAAATCTCATTCCAATCCTGGCACTTACCTGGGCAGGTGACTTAGGCTCTGTGAGCCTGAGCTTGGTCATCTGTGAACTGGGACTAAACCATACCCATCATTACAGACCTGTCCTGAGGGTTAAACAAGAAAACCTCTTGAGAATATATGGCATGAAGTTGGACTTCAATGATCTTTAAATGTTGGGACACAGCAGTAGGGGCTGGCTTGGCCTGAGGGCTAAGGCAGGCTTTGTGAAAAATCATTTCTCATTATTTCTCCTTATAAGAAAACAGATATAGTTGAAGAAAGCAAATGTTTCTGTGATATGCCTTGAGTTCAAAGTTTTGTAGACAGTAGTTTCTCTACTTCTTGGGTGTTATCAGAAGCTTATAAGAGCTGTTCAACATCATTGCCCTGAGCTGGCCCAAATATAATTTCCCTTGCCTAGAATATAGGCATGTCTTTGAACTCACCTGGTGATCTCAGTGACAGACAGCAAAGTAAGCAAAGTGTGATGTCTGCTTAATGACTGCTTCTGGAGTGCTTAGTATTTTAATGTATGTATAGGAAAATTCTGGACCCATTCTGCAGTCATCAGTACAGGAGTCCTCAGGTCATGTATCATCCAACCACAACAAACCAGGATTTCAGCCACCTGCTGCCTTCTGGAGAGGCACAAATCCAATAGTTAGCAGCATTTTTTGACACATAATTGTTTATTCTTTTGTTAGCTAATAACTAAATGTTTATTGAGCTCAGATTTCATGCTATCCCAGTGGAGGCATCTCATTAGATCTAAAGTGGAAATGAGAGGGTAAGAAAGGATGTGGATATATGGGCAGCTTCAAATATTAAATTTGAGATCAGATGGCTCCTTTCCATAATTTTTTCTTTTGAATTTTTCAAGCAGAATGTTAATGTTTAAACTTGATCAAGCTTCAAGTAATTTAAGATTTTCAAATGTCATTCGTTGGACTTACCAGCATCCATTGCAGCCACATGATGGAGATATCTCTTCTATCTGTCTCTATTGCTCCCTTTCTTCCTGTCTCTGTCTCCTCCTCTTTCTTGATTTATTTCTTTTTCTTTACATTCCAAGTTTCATAAAGAATTTTCTATATTCCCTGTTAATTTAGTATTCTCCACTTTCCACTGACTACACTGCACTATGGCCTCTGTCCACAAGTAACATACGTGAATTCAAACACCTCTCAAGTGCCTTTCTTGTACAACTAAAAAAATAATAAATGGAATGGAAAACTATACTCATGTCAAACTACTGTCACACAAAATTAGATCAGGTTCTAAATGAGAACCATCCCTAAAACAATCAAGGGATTTGAATAGTGGTTTGGACATATGAAAACTAACTGCATGGAATCACTGTCTTTTTTAATCAGCTTGGCCCAGATTAGATTCCAGCTGTACAGGGTAATCCCACATGAGTTACAGTTTGAATTAAATAAAGTAGTCTGGACAAGCAGAAGGTGTTTCATGAAAGAATACACTAGGTCATTGTTTTAGGCTAGTTCACTCCAGGGAAACTCTAGGTGTTTGAATACATCAGGAAAAAAAGGGGGCTTGAAAATTATATCTGCAGATTTTATTGATGTTCCCCACAGCATATAAACTGAGGAAATGAGCCTGTCTGTTTTAGCAATTTGGAAAGAGAGTATACATGACATGTAGGTATATATGGCAAATCCCACTGTTGAAATCTGAACATGTATTTGTTCTCTTTATGTTTCTCCTTTCCTCTTGTTCCATGAGGTAGTCATGCATTTAGAGATAAAATCATAAATTAAAATTAAAATCCTAAGCCCTGCAACTGACTGAACAAACCTCTTCATGGCCAGGAGGACCCAGAAAAACCTTTAAACGGAGTTCCTGGGCATAACAGGAAGTGAGGTCAGACACAACTTGATATACTCCCTCTCTTTTGTGGTTTAGATACCATTGACCAGCATTAATATTAAAATAGAAATCAGAAGACTGACAGAACAGACTCTTTGTGACAATAAGATATCAAATTATAAATAAGACCTAAGGCCATGCCAGGCAAGGGTTAAGTCACAGACTCTACGGTTAAAGAATCAACCGTGTTCTGACACAAGATTTCCTTTTCATTTTTCTTCAGCAGTTAAACAACTACTGGCCTCAAGATAAGCAATATTAAAACAATTTGCAGCTTATCTACCACTAGATGCTGATTCCCAGACCCTGTTCCACCAACAATAACTACAGTTTAGATTAGACAAGAGATTGATTTCAATAAATTTCTCCTGATTAGAAGAAAATCACCAACCATGGACTGGTTCTGGCCAGTTTACAGAGGCCAGAACTTGAATGCCTTTGTGTTCTGAAAAGTTCTTTTGACGTGTAGGGCCTAATTTTAATACATTTAAATGTGAAGTCTCCATTCCAAGGTGAACCTGGTCCATATGTATAATAACATACATGTTTGTTCAGTATCCATATATCAGGACCCTCTTCATGAACATTCATAGCTCTTCCTATAACATGTTGAGCATGATCTTTGTCCAACCCCTTCAGCTTAAATTCCTGTCTTACCTCTCACTCCCTCAAAGTGCCTGCCTCTGGGCTTCTTCCAGCGGCTACACTTCACAGTCTGTCAGAATGGTCACCCTGCAGGCTGTAAACTTTTACAAGAAATAAAGCTATCCTTTTTAAAATTTATAAATTGTTGATATTTCAGTTAACAAAGCCATGCCGTTAAAAATACCATATTTTGTGTATAGATCTATACAAATGTAATAAAAATATAGAGAAATGTCATAAAAATGTAAAACCTAAATTCTGCATAGTGGTTACCTGTGAGGAAGAAGGAAACTAATGTAATTAGAGAATACTTCAAAGTGAGTTTTAATTGCAAATGATGTTTTATGTTAACATAGAAGGTTCTTATATTCCATAATTTTGAGTATTTCTGAAATATTTAATAAAAACTACTGTTTCTATGGATATTTGATTCCAAATTGAAAAGAGATCCATACTAATTTGAAATTTTAGGAAACATAATGAAGTCCAGAGATAAATTAATCAACAACCCCATGGCTGATGAATTTTTGTAAATGTATCATTTTTGTGAATTACATCCCATTTGATTCTCTATGCAGACATATTTAGTGTATATGCATTACACATAGTTTTCATTTATCTGCAGACTTGACATTTGCTAAAGATCATTAAACTAGCTATTAATTTTGCCCAAATATTCTACTCATTCTGACTCCAAAGCCACACCTCCCCACTATTGTGAAATAGAATATTTTCCTGTGAAAAGGTTGACGCCAGCACAGAAGTGACTCCCCATGGTACTGTACATAAGGACAGATCTGGTATTTGGGGCCCAGGTCTCCTGATATCATCTGTTTCCCAGCAGACCCATCTTCACGATCTGTCATTCTGTGTTGCCTCCTTTCTGGGCTGAATGAGAGGCTGCAATTCCAATGTCCAAATAGAAGGTAAGTGAAGATGGTAAAAAAGGACATCAAATAAAAAGTAGTCAGGAAATTATTTTCTTTCTCCTCCACTCCATGCATCAGGTAACTTCTACAAAGACAAGACAGAAAAGATTTTCTATAATAGAAATATGTAAACATTTTATTTCCTGCTGCTTCAACTGTAATTGACCTCTAGGAGATGTTCATGTAATCTATGTCTTTTGTGGAAGACAAAACACAGGGAAAGCCAATACATGTATTTGTTGCAGCATTACATGTTAGACACTTCACATAGGTTTAAGCATTGTACATTTCTTCCCACAACAGCTCAACGAGGTATGTATTAATATGCCAATGTTACAGATGCCCCAGATTAGGTGATTCACTATTACACTATTATCAGGTCATATATCTAAACAGAAGCAGGAATAAGATCTACCAAATATATATATGTATACATATATAAGTATATATATAGATAAATACACTCATTTATATATAATATATAATGTATATATTATATAACACACAAAACAGGCCCACTTACATGTATTATTTAGCAAATCGAGATGAATATTTTCATCCAGTATAATAGGCTAGGATATAAATCTGCGTTACTTTAGTTCTTCAGTTGTTATAATTTCAGATGTCTTTTTTTTTTTTCTGAGTCAGAGTCCTGCTCTGTTGCCCAGGCTAGAGTGTAGTATCACGATCTCAGCTCACTGCAACCTCTGCCTCCTGGGTTCAAGTGATTCTGCCTCAGTCTCCCAACTAGCTGGGATTACAGGCATCTGCCACTCTGCCTGGCTAATTTTGTATTGTTAGTACAGATGGGGTTTCACCATTGTGGACAGGCTGGTCTCAAACTTCTGACCTCATGATCCACCCGCCTCGGCCTCCCAGAATGCTGGGATTACAGGCGTGAGCCACGGCACCCAGCCAATTTCCAATGTCTTTAAAAGTTTAAAATTCCTTTTATCAATCTATAAGGAATAAAGAACAACAGAAAAAGCACTATTGCAGTTAAACAGAATAGATTTCCATATTCCTTTTGAGACAGCCAAATTCTGTTTGATGGTTGAAGTAGGAAGTACAACAAGATCTGATTGGTTCTTAGTATATGTAGAATAAAACTTGAAGACTATACTATAAATGGCAGATATTAAAAGGACTTTATTGACCATGCCATTGACAGAGCTGGGCACTCAGGCACTCACCACTGTTCAGGGAACATATCACCCATGAATGTATGAATTAATAAATTAGTGAGATATCCTAGCATGGGGTACATATTGTCCTTATATTCTAAATAGACAGGATCTGAACATCACCTCATGGGGCAGTAGGTTACTTTGATCTCAAATGACATTTTTTCTTCTCTTAAAAAATATCTCCCTTTGAATGCAGTGTTTTCAAGATGTTACAAACTGTGCTAACACCACCAATCGAATTTTGTCAGATCCACTTCCTGATTATTAAATGCGTCCGTCCCCAGGTCAAAGGACTCAGAGCAGCCCAGAAATCATCTCTTGCATCTTCTTTACTTTACCTTGAGAAAGTTGACAGAGAGATGAATTTAGAGAGAAATGAAAAGGGCATTGTGGGTCCACCTAGTAAACCACTGAAGGCATCCAACAAGGATGCAGAGTGACAGGGCCAATTTTGCATGTGGGAACATGTGCAGATACCATGGCTAAAATCCAGAAATAAACCATCACATCCCAAGAGGAAATCCTGTGCAGAGATTCTACAGAACACAGTTGAAAAGGTCATGTAATGTGGACAACAGGAAAGCTGCCCATTTGAGTAAATTATGGTGAACCATGAGTCTACAACAGCACAGAGTTGCCTAAGCAGAAGGAGGCATTTGGTCAACCCATGCAGCTCTGTTGGGGTAGGATCATAAATTTAACTCTACATAAATAACTGCAAAGATGCAACATGTAAATGATAGTGAAGGTGAGTGTTCAATTCTGCCTAAACTTGTCAGAGTAGTGTTGAGTTGTAATACAACTCACTGAGCTGATGAAAGTTACTGAGGCAACAGAGGAGAAAAGCCTCATGAAAAATCTCAGGGAGGATATAAGGAGAAAACAAGTGAAAGTATGGAAAGTGTGACCTCTGGAGAGAGTATTCTGGCTAAGAATGTGCCTCCAGGAGGAAGGCACAAACATGCTGGCAGATGGGAGACCGT